GGAGGAGGGCAGGGGAGAGGCCAGGTGTCCCTGGGGAAGCCGCCCCTGTGCAGATTGGAAGGGACTTGTCCAAGGAGCAGGTACAGGTGGTAAAGGTGCTGGAACCTGAACTCTAAGAGGGGAGAGGCCTGTGTGCTGGTGACTGTGGACGCTGCATGTGGTGGCTGATCCTGCAGAGACCTCAATCCCCCCTCCTCCCTCCCTCCCTCCTTCTATGCCACTAATATTCCAGGCCATGGCCAAGTGCGTTTGTTTCCCTCGCCTGCTTTAATCCTCATGGCAATACCATGTCCATCTCCATTTACAGACCAGAACCTCCTACTTGGAGAGTTTAGGAAACTTGACAAGCTCGCTTCACTCTTGATCTCTATGCACACACACACACACACACGTGCACACACACACATGCACACACATACGCACGCTTATCCACATATGGGTCTGCATGCATGATGAGCTATGTTTTTTTCTGACCACAGCTATGTGTTCCTATGGGCGGCCGTTGTCGGGTTCTGAGAAGTGAGACTCTGATCTCATCTGTTACTTTTCTCCTCCCCCGTCTCACGGTCTCCACTGGAAAGTATTCCTGAAATTCCCCGCCATGCAAACCTCAAGGCTTCAGGAGGCCTATCCTGAAGTGACTCCTGGCAAGCCACAGAGTTTGAGGAGCAAGTCAAGGTCCATTTGCATAGAGGCTTTTGAATTGATAATAAATGTTAAATGGATTCCTATTCCTTTCCTGCTTCCACTGTTTTTTCAAATGGCACCTGGAGGGCATTCCCAGATGGGAAGTGTTTCATTTTCCTCCCGTCAGCATCCCTCCAATGCTCCCTGTGTGCCAGGCAGGGTGCGAGGCTCCTGTAAGGACCGATACCGATACCTGAGAACAGGGAGTGTCAGGCGGCTGCTGGGCACCTGCAGGGGCCGGGGAGGTGGTGAAAGGAGACACGGGAGGGAGGGGGAGGGTCCCGCCTGGGGGGCTCAGGGAAGATACCTTCCTCGTAGAGGTGATGTTTGATTTGCCTGCTGGAGGTTGGGTAGGTTTTTACCAGGTGGTTGGGAGGGTTGCAGGAAGGGTCTAGGGAGGTGGGAGGAGCTGGAAGAGAAGGAATCCAGGCAGGAGGATCAGCATGAGAAAGTCGTGAACTTGTGAAACCTCACTCGCCAGGCCAGGGCTGGGATAGTTGGAGCGTGGGTTTGGGACCGGCTGGGCGTGGCAGCTCACAGACGACACAATGCGGGCAGACCTGGACACGCACAGGCCACGTGCAGCTGACACAGCCTGAAGACATGTGCACACCCACAGGAGGCAATGGGTTCGACCAGAGCTGTGAAATCGGGGGCGGGACGTGGCTCACACCTTAGGAAAAGGAATCTCCCAGAGGGGTGTGTGTGTGTAGGGCGGGGGGGGGGGGGGGGA